TTTTTTTTTGAACAAGAAAATTTCTGCCAAAGTTTTACAAGATCCATTTAAGTCAAAATCTAAATTTTTTTTATTAAATATTATTATTTTTTAGATTGATATAGAAAATTCTAGGTAATTAAGAGAATTTCAATAAAGAATGTTGAATTTAATTTGAAAATAACTCAAAACTGTGTTTCAAAGAACCTTCCGTTTTTCCTGGTTTAATAATATTTCATCAGGTATTATAATATATTATATATTATTATTATGATATACCGAACACATTTTTAATAATGGATTTTTTTTTTGTCATGAGTTTTGGATAAAATTTTTATATATTAACTTCTTATAAATGGCAGATATCTTGAATGTTTTATGTTACTGTTAAATTTCTGTTGTTTATAAATATTAATATTTACTGAACATTTTGTGTTTTAAAAACTTTAAATGATTAATTACATTTTGTACTGATAATTAATTATAAATAATAAGAACTTTTAAAAAGCTAAATAAAAGTACTCAAAATATAGTAATCAACAATTTTTCAATTCCTTAATATATAAATTTTAAATAGTTGCATTTTGCCATTTCTTATTAAAAAAATTTTTTTAAATAATATACAAGTATTTAAACAAAAATTTAAATAACATTTTAACGAGTTAAATTTAAATTTTACATCAATTATATCATAAGTTAATTCATTATTTTCTAATTGAATTACTTTATATAAAAAATAATTTATTATTTTAATGAGAGAAAAATTAAATTCGATTTTATCATTTAATTGCAAAGCTATTTCCTTTTTTATATTGTAATTTGCAATTTCATTACATTTCTAAATGCTTAAACATTTAAGCTATACACATCAGCATATAAGCGTCAAACAGTTCTATCACATACAACAACACACAATAATTTAAAAATTAATGTAAAAATTTTGAATATTTCAATTTAAAATACTACTTATAATTCTTATCTTATTTTTATAACTAAAATATAAATAGTTCATTTAAATTTATTTTGAATCAAAAGTATTATATTTAAAACAAAAAATTATTAATATTTATTAGAATAAATAAAATTAAAATATTTTTTTTTAAATTATTTAGACTTAAATTATATTGCAATAATATTATGGTCAATTTAATAGACTAAAATTCCTTAATTATACAAAACATTTCTTTTCTATATTAATACATTTATATTATAAAAAACGCTTTTTTTGAGAAAACTTAAAATTAAAAAAAATACTTACTGAATTACATTTATAAACTGCAATTAAATTAATTTATTATTATAAAGTATATAATTGCAAATATTTTAAGAATTTAATTACTCAGATTCGGTTCAATTAAAAGAAAATTTTTTAGAAATTAATAGTCTGAGTAATGCATAAAAACTTCCAAAGTATTTGACCAAATCAAATTTTTTGAATTAGCCTGTTTTTTTGTACATAAATTTGTATTGAATATCTTAAAACTATTAATTAGTTTTCCTTTTTTGAATTTAAAAAATTATCATTCAAAAATTATTAAGGAATTTATTTCAAGTATACATAATACGATTGCCAGTGGTTACATACAAGATAAGTTTGTTAATTTCCTTTTTTAAATTATATAATTATTAATCTGGAATCTTCGATAAATGCAAATTATGTACGCCAATTATTGCAAACTCTTTTTTTTTTTTAAACAATTTAAAGTTTTAGTCGAATATTTTAGATAAATATAATTTTTTTTTTCTTTCTGTACTTTGTATAGAAAAAAAATTAAATAAATGCACTTAATCAAATCTAAAAATTACCCAATTTAAAAATTCTCTTCACATTTGATTATCCTAAAAACCGAAATAGTGAACTTTGTATGTAACAATTGAAATTTAATTATTTTATTAGAATAGCTTCTCAAATCATGTTATTTTGTAGATAAACCATCAATCATTTAATTTTTGCAGATAAATGTAGGTACAATTTTTCATATCTTTTCATTCTAAAAATTTCACATTTAGTGTCTATATTATTATTTAAAATAAATGTAGTAAAATAATTAGTTATGTGTATAATTATAAATTTAGTTCCGATAATTTAAAATTTTTAAAAACAATTTCAGAAATGACTAAAATCAAATTAGGAAATGTTTATTTGCTGTCTTAGTTCAATATACCAATTTTTTTTATTTTTTTTTTTTTTTGGATCTCTGTACTGTTTTTTGATTTATTTTTAAATTGAATAAAAAATTATTTAAAAAAACATTTAATTTTTTGTCTTCTTATTTTGTTAGTTGAATTATTATTTCTTTTTCTTTTAATTTGATTTTAAATCTATGTATGTTTCGTTAAATTTGTCTTATTTGAATTCGATTTTGTAACTATTAATTAGTTTTTTGCTTATTTGTAAAAATAATGCCTTTTATTTTTTTTTTGTTATTCTACATATTGCATAAAAGAAATTAAATTATATACAGTGATTTTCTGTTGAATAATACATTTATAATTTTTTTTTTGTGAATAATGAAATTCTAAAACAAATTTTTACTATAAATTAAATTTTATTTTGAAATGTAACAATAGTTTAAGATTAATTCGGATAAGGTTAGAGTTAAATGGACAAATGATGGTTATTATTTTATTGTGTAAGTTGTCAATTTATAATAATAATTAATTATTGTTTTAATTATAGTAGGATATTATTTTGATTGAAGGTTATATAAAGTTATTAAATAAAAACAAATTCAAATTAAAAATTTTTAGTAAATAAAAGATAAAAATTTTTTTTTTGTTTTCATTAATAATTAAATAGAATATTGTATGACCTCTTTCAAATAAACAATTTAGTTTTAAAAGTATTTTAAAATTTTATTGAAGTTCCAATAACAAAACTGTTCAATTTAGCTATTTGAAGAATTTTTAACAATACAATTAATAGGAAATCGATTATATTTACATTTATTAATATTTACATTATTAATTTGAAAAATGCAACCTCCGAATAGTGATTTTGTAATTTTATAATAGCGAAAATAAGCACTATAATATTTCACATTCAAAAGCATAATAAATATATAGTTACATAAATACATATATTGAAAAAATAAGGAAATACATCATTTTATAGATTTATAGGACATACGAATTAGTTAGAAAAAAACAACTACTTGTATTTAACATAAAATTCCCATTTTCTAAACCAAATTTAAGATAATCAATTTAAAATTATAGCAACAGATTATAACATGTCTTACGCTAAAAGTGAAGCTTTTTTGAGGTTGCGTGCTTCAAAACGGTGTTTTTTTTTTTTTAAATTGAGAAAAAATTGCATTTAATCATAAAAAATTAAGCTAAAAATATAAGTTATGTTGAAATGTTTGGATCTCATCTTGTTAAAATTTCAACAAAATCAAACATATATTAAATCTATTTTAAACCTTATTATATAAATAATATTTATACGCTATTAGTGAATTATTAAATTTAAGTTAAATTTTTGTGTTTTTTTTAAAAGGGCTTAATCTAAAAAATGGCACTTAGATTGCATTGCGAAAATCTCAAATTGTAGAAAATATTCCACAAATTATTGAATAATACTAAAACGGTACTATTGAATGGTTATAAAATATTATTAAATTCTTATGAAAATATTTTATAAAAGTTATAAAGAATGACTTTATAACTCACATCTACATAATAAAAAACTTTATATAATAGATATTATACTTTAAGTTATAAATACCTTATTTTTGTATTGAAATATACTAAATTACTTATTTCGTACACTATAGGTTAATTTAAAAAGTTTATGTACTAATGGCAATAAATTAAAATAAAAAGGAATTTTTTATACACGGTTTGGTTAGATGCCGGTATTTATTTATAATTTCTTTGATAAATTAAAAGGTTCTATAACGAACAAAAAAAAAATGAATACGGGCTCTAGGTATTAAATTTACATTATTAAATTTTAATTTAAAACTTTTAAAATTTTCATTTCAAGAGCACTGAATGTTTGGTTTTGTAATTTATAGTTACAATTAAAAAAAAAATACGCTCGTTAAAAATTCTTACTCATATAATTTTATGTAGAAAGAATAGAATTGTATTAATATTACTATTAAGAATTATATAAATAATATAAATTATAAATAATTTTAATTATTATCCATAAATATAATGAATAGGTAAAAAGAAAACAAAGAGCGTTTGATCGACAAAAAAAACCTTTAAATTTCTCTTTATTTTCATTCTTAAGATCGACTTGAAACCATTGGTATTGCTTATCTCGATTTAAATACGGCAATTTCCTGTAAAAATTTGTTTTGCTATCAATAAAAATAAGGCCGGCCTTGAAAAGTTTTGTTAAGAAATCATTTATAATATTTAATAGCAAATTATTATTTTTTAAATCGGTATTTAACCATGGTCAATTTTGTATTACTTTTTAAAAACGATTCTTCCTTAAAAATAAACGAATCATATTAATTTTTGCCATAAACGTGTTATATCAATTAATTTAATAAATTGCATTTAATAATATTTAATAAGTATATTTAATAATTTGCATTTAATAATATTTAAATCGAGCGATGACTAAAATTAATAAGTGTTTACTACTACTCGTATAGGCCAAAGGGAGCAATTCATGGAATCTTTAATTCAACAATTATTTAGTAATTTGGGCTAAAAAACAAACTCATTATTTTAAAATTAAATTATTTTAAACTAAATTAAATAACATTCACATGTTAGGCCGTTTCTAAGCAAAATTTTAAATTTAAATTTAATTTTATCCGATAGCAAAAACCAATTTTCATATTACAATACCCCGAAATTTTAATTTTAATTATTGAATATTTTTTTAAGATATCCAATACAGAAAAAAATTACATTACAGTTCAAAAAATTACTACAGTTTAGGAGAGAGGACATACAATTTCTAATATTGTTGATTTTTTATGATTTTTATATTTTTTAATTACATTATATTTCATATTTATTTTAGCTTCTATTTTTTTATTTTAAAACATATTTCACTATTTAAATTCGAATGTTTTTATTTTAATTTCTATATATTTTTTGCTATAAAATAATAATATTCTTCTTTTTAATATTATTTATTATAAGATTGCGTTTCAGCAAAACTTCTTCAAAAAGTTTTAATTTAAAAAACGCTTAATTTATTTCTTTACCTTTTTATATTTTTTAATTTTAATATATTTATTATTATTTTTTTTTTTTCAAAATTTTTCATATAATTCAATATATTAAATTTCAATTTGATGAGTTTTGTTTTAGACACGTTGTAGTTAAGTTTTGATATCGTTTTTTTTCTTTTTGCTTCTTCATATTTTTGGCATTGCATTATAATTTTTGAAATTACAACTTAATTGTTAATTCTTTTTTAAGTTTATATTTTAATATGAATTAATGTAAATTTATGTTGTGTATGTATGAACATATATATATCTATATAGACGTATCATGAGAAAAATTATTTTTAATGAATTCATTTTCTATTAATTTAACTAAGTATCTTGTAGTCTTATAATACAACATTGTTTATTTTTGTTATTTTGCTTATTTTTGGAATGGATTTGGTTTTCATTTTCATTTAAATTTTATACATATTTAGCAAAACAAAATTAGAAATAAATGATTTCTTCTTACAATATTTTATAATACAAATTCTATATAATATGTTTACATATAATCGCTTAATATATGTACATAATAAATTATAAACTAAAAGCCTTCGGATGGAGGATGGAGGCTATCTTTTGATTTATGCTCTTGTTGCAATTGTCCCAAACGTATTTTCATCTCTTGTCTTATCTCTTTTTGTTGTAATTCTTTTTCAAATCTCATAGCGCTATAACTTCGAATCGATGGTACACTATGTATTGATGTTAAACTTGCTCTTCGGGAACCTAAAAATATTTAATTTTTGTGTAGTGTTTTTATAAATTTCAATTAAAAAAACATTTATTTTTGTATATAATAATAATATATACACATACAATTTGAATTTTAGAAGAATATAATATTAAAAAAGAAAAAATAAAACAATTATAGGAACAATTCTCATATTTTTTGTTTGCAAAATAAATTGTAAATAAAAAAAAAGTTAATTATTTAACAAAAGCAACATGGACAGAAGTGTGCAAAGCTTTAACTTTTTTTTTTGTTTTCGAATTTGTAAAAGTTGTATATTGACTTTTTTTTTTGTTAAATTTAAACAAATAATATTAAAAAAATTAATTCAGAACATTTACATTAACAAGGACATTTCCATGTGAATAAACAAAAAAAAAATATTTAAAACATTGAAATTAACCAATAATAATTAAAAATATAATAAAAATTAAAAAAAAAAAGTTTATATAATTTAGGAATGATAAATAAAAATTTTGGGGTTGAATGCAGGACATTTTTGAGTTTTATAAAAATTTTGCGATAATTTTAGTGGAATGTGCCATTATTTGTGAAATGTAATCATGTTTTGTTTTTTTTTTGTAATGTTAATTTTAATTTTATGAAATATTTTTTTGTTTTTTGTAAAAAATAAAAATTTAAACTGCAATTAAGTGTAAAATTGTTTTTGTCAAAATGATCAACTACAAAATGTAAGAATTCAACTAATAATGCAGAGTAATGACAATGATAGATGCATTCATTAATGATCATTTTTTCAAACATTTCAAATGAAAATAATGAAAAAAAAACTTTTCAATAAAGGACATTAAAGGATTCCCATTATAGTTTTAAAATATTAAACATAAAACAAATAATATTATTGTGAGGAGCTGGAAAATAGTTTTCATATAGCGAAATAATTTCATATTTATTTTTAATAAAATATATTTAAATATAATCAAAAATTTATAATTTCTGTAATGGAAAACAAGGAATTTAAGTATATACTGTACATAAGAACAATATAAATAAATGGAATTGAAAAAAAATTTATCGATAAAATTGAATGGCATAAATTCATATTTTTACACAATATGATTGAAATTACTATAGTTTGTCATTAATTATTCTTATAATAAAACATATTTATTATACTCGTAATTAAAGTATTTTATTGGAATTATTATAAATTATCAAAAACTAATGTATACCCTTTAAAATTATACAAATTAAATTCTATATAGCTACTCGTATTAAAAAACTTGACAAAGATATAGCAAAAAATTTTCATTATTAAGAGAATAATTAAAAAAATGTAAAATAAGATGTTAACATTAAGGCGATAATGATTTAAAAAATTTATTATGCTTAGTAATATTGGAAAACTTACAATTTAAAATCAAAATTCCTAAAAATTTATGTTTTTTTTAGAATACTAGAAAAATTAATCTACACAATGAAATGTGCAATGAAACGTGCCTCTTTTATGGGTTATTTGCGCACTATATATATATATATATATATATATATATATATATATATATAGAGAGAGAATTTTATTTAAAAGATATTACATTCGCAATGAGACCTTATAGACTTTTATACCCCCCGCAATTTGTTCGTCGACTTTCGTAACGAATCAATGTATTTTACATAAAAATTTGAAATCTCAAAATAATCAAAAAATTTGAATCAAATTTTACTTTCCCTCTGTCAAAAAAAAATTTTTTTATTAATTTATATACCATACTACTACACACTCATACTATTCTCGCCAAAAAAAAAAATTGTCGAATAAAGTGTAATAGAAAAAATCTGCTCAGCTTATTTCAAGCGAACCAATAAACTGCCAAGAGAAAAGTTAGTTTGACTTGGAATAGCTTAGCTTAAAAGAGGACAAGCGAATTAATTTTTATTTTATATCTTATATCATTTACATTTTATAAACCAGCTCTTATTCGTACAAGGTCAGAAAAATAATTCTTGCATGTACAGAGAATACACATAATCTTATACGAACATAAAAAACTAAAACCATTTAAATTGCATAGTTGCTGCGAAATTATATATACTCGTACGAAAATAATAAAATTATATTGAAACTCTTATATTTGATATTACTAACATTAAAAGTTTAAGCACCAATATATGTGAACAATAACATTCGTAGAAAAGCATTAACTGTTCTTAAAATAATTAAATAATCTCTAATTTAAACATTAAATTTAGTGTTCTTGTAAATTTGCGCTACACTTCATAATTATGACAATTTATAACAAAACGTTATTTATTTTTTGTCATTTTACAACATGGCAACATTTTATTATGTAAGTACTTTAAATTTCTGTATGATAAAATGAATCGTGTTATGATGAAAAAGAAATTGAAGAAGTACAATTTTTTTTCTTTTGAAATTTTGTAAGTAAAATAAATTTTAACAAAAAAATATCCAAGTATATTATCAACATCAAGAATTGTTAAAATATATAAAATTAAAACATTCCATATTATTTAAATGAAAAATTTCAAATGTCTCAGATAGAAATTATAAGTTATTTTTTTTTTTAGTTTCGCTAATAATAAAGAATTTTGTAAAACTAATAATAATAATAAATTTTGTATGAATTCAAGGCTATAAAATTCATCTCCTAAATAATATGTTCTTCATTTTTATAGAAAAAAAATATAATTTGTTAAAATTTCTTACATAAAATTTAACAAATTTTCGAATACTACAACTATTTCTTTAAAATTTATTGATTTATTAAGAAATTTGTATATTTTGTTTTTAATTACGTATTTAAAAAAAAAACTGTAAAGCAAATCATGCATACATTTCAAGTACATGAAAAAATACTATAGTTAATATTGTTAAAAGTTGAAAATAAACAACTTGTCAAACAATTGTCACATAGTTGAAATTAATAAATATAATCAAAAATTTGATAATATCTTTTATATATTGTATTAAATATTTAAACATTTATGTTTAATTAAATATTAGAATTCGAAATAAAAAACACACATAAAATGAAAATTTGAGGCGTCCACTTAAATGCAAATTCATCTATACAAAATATCAGCAATCAAATCAGCAATTAAAATTGTATTCCTAAGTAGATCAATATAATATTAAATCTGCATTTATGTAAACGATTGAAAAAAAAGAGCAATGTCCAGCCGAAAATTTAAAATATTATTAAAATTTTTGATATTATAAAACATTTGGAATTTATGGAAATATAGAAGAGAAATTAATGGGAAATTGTATAACATAACTATTGTACTTGAATAAAGATAACTTTATTATTATAAATTTTTCCTTTCGAAAAGTTTTAATTAGACTATAACCTGTAAAGATAGCAATACATATATAAATAATGAAAAATTAACATTATTCGCGGAGATCCAGCAGCACGTAATTTTATTAATTATCCTATAAAATCAGTACTTTCAAAAGTTATATTCATTATTCCAAAAAATTCATTTCTTTTCATACAACTAAAAAAAAAATTTATATATATTATTTTTGTTAATATTAAATTTGAGATTTCTTTATTAAATATTATTATTAAATTAAAACAAAAATGGGATGAATATATTTCATAGAAATTTAAAATTTGATATCTTGTTTAATGACATTTTCAGTACCAAAAAATTTAATAATCGTATGAATTTCCACAGTATGACTCTTAAAATATCTACTTATCAAAATTAATGATTTTTTAAAGAACATTTACTAGCAAGGAAACGTTGAGATAACAAATTCTTTAATTTATTTTATTTTTTGCTCTTCAATACATATATGGAACAAACAATTTAAGCTCTGCATACTTTAATTTGATAAAAATTACTTTTAAAGAAATATGTATATAGCGATGTACAATATAACAAAACACTTATTTATTATCATATACACAATTTCTCATTATATGAGAATATGTTCTTGTGCTCCATAATTGATAAAATAGCACAAATATGTAATTAATACATAAAGTACAATCAACAACATATTAAAAACTTATAATATGATTTTCTTTAAACTTCTAAAAATGTGTAAATTATATAATGGGAAATAAGTTTTTCGAAAAAAAAATATTCTAAATTGCGCTAGAATTCAATTTTGATCAGTCAGTGATAATATTAGAAGTGAGTAAGTAAATACTATATAAAAACTTTAACTCTTATTATTCAAAGAGTGCTATTTAGAATTAATTAATGTTATCCTTTCTAAGTTAAAAAAGAACACAATCATTATTGTACAATAAAATTCATAATTAATTCATTTTAAATGTGTTTAAAATTTTATATTTCTTTATGTGGTGTTTTTGTTTTTGTAAATTGCATGTAATTTGTGTTGTAATTATAAGATTATATAGATATATATATATATATACTTAAATACAAATTTTGGAAACAAAAGAAAAGCAGAATTATTACACATATGTATAACAAAAAAAAAAAACATATAAATTTTTTAAATATTATCAAATTATCATTTTTTATTTTCGGCTGGAAAACCAAATGAAAAAAAAAAAGAAAATTTTATATTTTAATTTTTGTATCCAAAAAAAAAAAACCAAAAAACAACACATTCTATATAAAGATTTCTGAAAAAATTAAAAAAAAATATTAAAATTTAAAAGAAATAATTTATAGATTAAATTATAGAAAAAAAAAAATGATTGTTATACAAATCGGAATTATTAATTTTCTTTTAATAGAATAAGAAGAAAAAAAAACAAAAATTCTATTTTGCTTCATTATTTTTTTTTTTTGTACACCACAATATTGAAATAAAAAAATCATATAATAAGAATATTTATAATAAATATATATACATACATATATATATAGTTGAATTTTTTTTAATATTATTATATACACATATATATAAATATATAAAATATAATATATATATATATATATACATATATGTATAATATAATAATAATATTTTTTTTTTTTAATAATATTTTTATATTTTGAATTTAATACCGCGAATACAGGATTTCCACTAGCTGGTGTTGGTAATGCCCCAACCTGTAAATTACTATCTAAAGAATCTGAATTATCAGTGTTTCTATCTATTCCATTAATTTTCAATAAAGAACGAATTTTCCGATTTTGTCTAGTCGGAGATAATTCCAGGTGTAGTAGCTTACGCTGTTCATTTAATTGATTTTCTAAATGTCTATGCAAATCGGTTTTTTGATTTTTTTTACTTAATGCAGTTAAATGACATGATACAAGTAAAACAGCGGCCGATCTAGCCGCACCTGCAGAATATATATAACAATTTTTTTTTTGTTTTTTTTTTTTTTTTTGATTTGGAATTAAATTAAAAAAAAATTAAAAGTAAAAAATTATTAATATTGAAAATTCAAAATTAAGATGTAAAAATAATAAAAAAAATAAATACAAAATCAAAAATTTTTTTATGTTAAAATTTAAAAAAAAAAAAAAATGCAAAAAAAAAATTAATTTTTTTTTTTTTAATTTTGAAATAGCAACAATTTTGTTTTTTTTTTTTGATAATTTTTTTTTTGTTTGATTTGCGATAAGAGAAAAAAGAAAGATCAAGAGGGGAAAAAGGATTTAAGAAAGAAAAAAAAAAAGAAAAAGAATATTTTATTTAATTAATTTTTTTTTTATGAAATTTGCTTGTTTTTTTTTTTTTTTGATATTTTAGCGCTTTTAACTTGAAAAATAGTTGTTTGAGATTTGAATAAAAAAATTTTTATAATAAAAAGTTAAAAATTAGCTCATAATGCTTTTGCTAAAAAAAATGTATTTTTTATTTTTTTTTTATTTTTTTTTTAAATGAAATATATAAGAATAGTGTATAAAAGGATATTTTGACAAAAAAAAGGTATTAAATTTAAGTAAAACTTAGTAAAAAGTAAAATAAATATTTTTTAACATTTTTTTTTTGTTAATATGTAATAAAAACAAGGTCTATAATACTTTTTAATAAATTTGAACTAAATTAATTGAATATAGAAAACTATACCTGTACGAGATGTTGAGACTAATATTCCCTTCGATCCCGATTGTAAAGCACTTGAAGGTCGACGGTTTCCATAGGAACCTAATGAATCACTTGAATGAAAACTCGAACGTGATGAAGGTCGTCCAGATCGTACCGTTAAAGGAATACCTAAAAATTATATTTTATATAATTAATTATTTGCAAATAATTTAAAATTAAAATAATTAACAATTAATAATTTAATATTTAATGGGATAGTACAATATTACAGTATGAAATATTTAAAAAAAATAAAATATAAACCAGCAGACAGATTGTTTATTTGTTTCTTGTTTCAATTAAACCTCAGTGACAATGTTTATAAATCGAGACAAATATTTTCCGAAGACAAACACATATTAGAAATGAATTTAATATGAAAATATGAGCAATATATTATATATGGGAGTGAAAATAAATGTAAAATTATAAAATTTTGAATAAGAATTGAAGAAAAAGAAAAATTATTTAATTGTTCCAACACTTCGAAATAGACAAACAAATCTATAACGAAAATTGAATTTATGGTTCTATAGATTAGTAGGAAAGCGGCTAAAATTTGATTTTCAATATTGAACTGGTTTTTAAATTTAACATTTCAAATGCTTCAAATAAGGGCTTATATCAAATGTATTAGAGAAAGGATTTGAAAATCCAATAATTGATAGAATGAGTGATCTTATATAGGAAAAAATTACAATATATATAGTTAAAAAAATGAGAGTTCTAATTTGAAAATGACTCAAAACGGTGACTGAAAAATGAATATACATCATCAGGCTAAAAATATCCGCACAGTTTGTAATTTTGTATAATTCTAATACTTTGGTATCGAATCGATGTTATTTTAATAAGCGGAAATTGGAGAGCAAGCTCATATAAAACTTTATCTTGACAACTGTCAAGAACGTGGTTTATCGTCATATAATTTCAATTAATAAAATCGCCAAGTTTACCTTAAGATAGTTATTACAAATCCCATATATAAATAATAGCAAATTTGCGAACATATACATGCACATATGCAAAAAAAAAATTTAATACAAATTGAGAAAATTAATTCAATTAAAATATTTACAATAATTTCTACTATTCCTATCAAAGTGAATTTTCTGAAAAGAATCCTCTTATCTTTGAATATTTTCCATATATACATGCTCATATAAAATTTTTTTTCTTTAAAGGGCAAAATACTGAATAAAATGAATTAATCCTTTTTAATTTGCTAAATGAGTACAGAGCACTTGAACTTTAAAACTCTTTCTTTATTATACGAGTTTCTTTTTTACAAAACGAATCAAAAATTGTATATATTTCCAAGATAAAAGGCAGTCAACAATAAAAAAAAAAATCATATACCTTCTAAAATTTAATTGAAAATTATACAATTCTAAAATAATATTGAAATCGATCTAAATAACGCTTAAATTAATACAAATAATATTCACCTGTATCATTCGAGTTATATAATATTGTTGGAGATGGATTTGTATCACGAAATGGCCTACGTGGATATTTTGTTTTACTAAACAAATGAAGCACCATACATATTAGACCAGCTAAAACAAAAATACCAGCAACTACACCTAATAATGTTGGCAAATCAGAATTAACTAATACCATATCTAAAATGAAATAGAAAAAATAAGATTAATTTTTTAATAATTTGAATTATAAAAATATGTTATATGTTTTTGCATATAAGTATAAAAAATTATAACATTTTAACATATTATATGATTATTTTCATATTTACCTCGAGTACAAAATTTCTTTTTAATTGGTTTTGTATAACTAACCATATGGTAGCCATCTTTGCATTGACACATCGCATTGTGTTTTATTTGAATACATAAAGAATTTTCATCATTATATAGGCATGATTCATGATAATGACATTGTTGACCCAATCTTTTTGCTATAATTATAGTAAAAAAAAGAGAAAAATAATAATTTAATATTAATTATAATAATTTTATAAAAAATAAAAAAGAAATAAAATCAATCTGAATATAGTACATTTGGCGCATCCTTTTGCAAGCCCAATAATAACAGGATGGTTCTTGTCACAGCCACAAGTTAAAGTCGATGGATCACAATATACATGCGCTAAGTCGCTATGACATGTCCCATTACATGCAGCGCCGATAAACATTCCTTGCGCTATAAAACAAAAAAAAATTAAAATAATTATGTTAAAAAATGCAATAAAGAATTGTTTTGTATTATAACAAAGAAAAAAATTGATTTAAAAATTCTTATACGAAATCTAGATATATTTGAAATGCAGTTATACAAAATTACAATTGAAACAAAAGATTTGAAGAAAGTTTGTGTTTTAGCGATAATTAAATTTGAAATACAAAACTGAAATTTGCTTCAAAAATCATTTTTTACTAGTCTTACTACGTAATAATTAATTCGTGTATCGTATAAAATTTCTTATTAGTCTGTTTAACGGTTTTTTTCCTATCTTTCGATTATAAAAGGTTTTGGCGGCTGTAAAGTAAGTCTTTATAAGCAATTTTTTCTAATTTGCATATTTTTTTCATATTGCAACTGTTTAAGAAATTTTCTTTACTCGCAGAAATAAGGAGTTCAAACTTAGATTATAAATCACTAAGATTTACACAAAAGCACACTTTAGCACGAGTAATTTTGGAAATTCCAACCAGTTAGCATAAAGTCTTAATATAGAGGCATATTCATTGAATACAATAATTAAATTATTTTTCTTTTTCGATTGTAATTACGATATATGTATATCAATATAAATATACACCATATATACAATTATGCTCACACAAAAGTTATATATAAACGTAATTCGTGCTTAATTCAATATTCAAATTAAATCATTAAATTTAATGTGAACAGTCAAATATCCTTATTGAGTAATTTTTTAAGTTACTATTTCGTAAAATATTTATATTACCTACACATTCATGAACACATGCAATATATATTTATAGTAAATGCATATACATATACATATACCACTCTACAATAAGTATAGATATTGTGCTTCTATTGTATAAATATTTTACTTTTTTCTATGGTTTGTAATTGTATATCTGAACATTTGCATTATTGACAGTGACAAATGTAACAAAAGAAAAAATAAAACAGTATTTTACGTAATAAGAAAACTGGGTCAGAATATTATGCATTTTTTTTTCCATTGCTATTCGAAACTTATTTTTGTGACCGCCTACTAATGTACCTCAAAAATATATATATATATATATATATATATATATGTACTAAGAAATTGTAGGCATACAGGCACGGATTTATACAATATTAGAATTCTGAAATAGGTGAAAAATGTTTTGCCTGTTGAAAACTAAAGAGCACTTTAGTGAACGTTTTGTATCATTCATAATTCAGGAAACACATTGTGTACGATATTTGCACAATATAAAACAAAGAACGCAAAATAAATTTTTAATTTTGAGTTAATTGTAAATTTCTTGCAATTTCTTAATTTTATGAAACAAAATGTACTAAATGGCTGTACATGAACCGAGTTTTCTCTAAAAACTAAGCTAAAAACATTATAATTTTGTTGCGCTTCTTTTTGAGTCATATCTACATGAATTTCAAAAACCTTTCAAATAGAGAATTTATAATAATTTATTTATTCTCACGCATTTTATTGAAAGTAGGGCGCGTTTAAGTATAATTTATTCGTGCATCGTATAAAATTCTAAAATAATGTAAAACTCATTTCTTTTCAGAACTTTTCAAGTTTATGGTAAACAGCTAAACCCGACACTGGATATACAATCATATGTATATGTAATTATTTGAAGTGAGTTATTGAAAATTTGGCAACGTAAATACTATACCATATACGAATATTTTAAAATTTTAAATGTTTTAGCGACATATTTTTAATTTTTCAAATCTATACATACATAGATTTAATTGCTTGTATATAACGCCACTGCACCATCAATTAAATTTCATATCAATCGTCATTAAATTCATATCAGTAATACTAAAATAAATATATTAAAACAATATATACACATTAACATATACGTATTTTTCATATCAATAAATTATTGAACTCGTACGTATAGTTTACACGTATTTCTTATAATTAATTTTCCACCTACGCTGATTAATTATTTATATATTAAAATACTAAAATCAAAGACAATAATGTATTCGCCATTTCCGTAGTTTTGTATTATATGTTCAGTATTTTGTTTATAGGTGTAAGCTAAAACCATCATGAACAGCTGGAAATAAGAATTACCAGAAATATAAACGTCCTGTTCACATGATTTTATTAACCTTTTATCCTAATCGTCTTCTTAGCTTATTATCATTGAGAACTTTTGAATCAGATAACTTGCGGTTAGTTACGAGTAGATAGTTAACATTTATTTTGAAAAAAAAATAAAGTTGGGTCAAACCAATGGTTTGTATTGTAGCACTTTTCCCTTCAACAAGTGAAAATACTGCTTTTAAAAATCTATGTATATCCACCACACTATTAAAATTATTTTGATTCATAAACGAAACTATTTCTAGGATTGCATATATTTAGGATGAACGATTTATGCAGTCTTTGAAATATATAAAAATTAATATAAAGAGGGGTTAACATAATGCTCGATTTTAAGGGTTAATTGTGTGAGTTAAGAAAAATAATTATATTTTTTAATGTCATGGAATTTACCGTTAGCTTTTTGCGTTTATAGAAATTTGAAAAAGCTTGCGGTTTCGGAAATATAAGGTGTCAAAAATTCAAATTTTACGAATTTCAAGAGGCGATAACATGAGAGGGGTTAGAGATGGAAAAAAATTTTCTTCTAACGAAATAAACTATTTGTTAATGTCTAAAAGCTCCTAAAATTTCAAGCTTCTGCAGGTTAGGGTATAGGAGAAAAACGACATCAAAAATTTGGAAAAAAAGGACTTTAGATAACGGTAAATTTGAGCAGCCATTTTGTTTTTCTAAGGTTTAACTATCGTATACCGCGCTAGGGAAAGCCAGTCGCTGCCTTTCTGCGTTTGCAAAATTTCAAAAATGCTTATGGTTTCATTGCAACAAATAGTTAAAATGGGCCATTTTTGTGGCTTTGGGGGGGTATAACTTCTAGAGGGGGGGAGATAGGTAAAAATTTTGTTCTACGAAAATAAGTTTCTAGTAAAGATCTATGCACGTATTAAATTTCAGCTTTCTATCTTTAAGAATGTAGAAGTTTTGTAAACAGACACACGGACAGACGGACGGACGGACGGACGGACGGACGGACGGACGGACGGACGGACGGACGGACGGACGGTCGGACGGACGGACGGACGGACAGAGTGAAACTAATAAGCACTTTTTTTCAAAAAATTTTTGGAAAAGTGCTAAAAAGAATATAGAATGTACATTCAGCAAGATTCATCATTATACTCGTAATGTTGTAGAATAATGGAACTGAGGTAAAAATTTTGATAGAATCAGTTCTAGAGTCAGTTCATAAGTAGTCAGACGGTAGATATTAGTCTGCACAATTTTGTGTTTTGAAACTTCAAGCAAATCTATTCTTACTCAACATTTATTTACAAATTTGTACAAAATTTAATGAAGTTCGCCTTTGCTGAAAACCATATTTATCTTTTAAATTTAATTTTCTGTAGTCCGATTCGACCAGAACTAACATCTCCCTAAAAATACTTGATTCTCATTTCTCTATACTGCATGCATTTTCGTTAAAAACTCGACATGGAAAATTTGTGAGCGATTGCAATACTTTTCTTATAATTTACGTGATTCAGTCAATTCAACAAAGAGAATTTATCACACAAATAAGTTCACATATCAAATGCAAAATATAATCCTCTTCATTTGTTATTGGTTTTTTGTTATATAGTATTAATCATAAAATTTTATTTTATAACTAAAATACTGAAGCGTTTCTGAATACTTTTTTTTTACAAAAGGAACATTCTGCGTGCGTTTAATTTGATAGTTCTTTATTATCAACGTTCATTATTATTCCCAAAATAAAACTACAGGATGTCCATTTTCCATGCGTGACCTTATAAATGTATGTACATGATTATAAAATGATTTTACGTCCTACAGTATAATTATTTTTATATAAAAATAAATGCAATTAAATATTTTTTTTATATAATTTTACTGAAAAAGTAGAACTGAATATAGACTTGTATAAAAAGAGATAAGTTGAAACGCAATGCTAGTCCAGATAGAGATTATGAATACTTAGTAAAAAAAAGTTTTTGGTTATTAAATTAACTTTTCTTATCCGTCTGTTTATTTAGAAAATTTTTAAGAACTTTGAATAAAGTGACATATAAAATACAAGAATGTTAAGTAAAAATGGATCCTAAGGAAAAAATTTACTTACGAGAACCAAATATTTCTGATGCTTGTCTGTTATATAATAATAATTTGAATAATAATTTGAATATTGAATGATAATTTATTGTTTTTGTAAAATTTATTCAATATCATAAGCGCGTCGAGGAAAACTCAAATCTAATAGCAACGAGTTTTAAAACAATCACTTCGCGACAGCTTTTTCTCAGATATTAACCGCTATAATTTCTTACGTGGGAAAATATAAATAAGCAAATATCAGTACTAGAAAGTTATTCTTGAAAATTTTCAATATGCGATTTTTCACTGTTTCGAGTCTCTTAAGATTAGGAAACTATATTAATATTTAGTAATTTATATTTTTTAGAATTCATAAGTTCATTTACAATTTGAAGACGCCTTTACTTTAAAAGCAATGATAATTTCAATAGTTGAATTTGAAACCTATGTAGTTGGATAGAAGAAATTTATACTATGCATATAAAATAAATGTCCACTTAACTAAGCTGTTACTTTAAACTGAAAACTAAGTTACTTTAAAGTGAAACTGTAAAATATTTAATTTTTACTTAAAATGGACTTAACGGACTCAATGGAATAAAAAATAAATCATCGATATTGTTAAGTAGTATTTTTTTATATAATGATTAAGTACGTATATCAAATTACTGACGTATAAAAGTGAAAATGCAACAGTATAAATTTGTTCTGAAACAAAAGTTGATATAAAAGCGTTCAATTGACCTAATTAGTTCCCTAATTCAATCATTCTGTTAATGTTCCATTCAATTTTATTTTACTCACTCCGAAGCGTATGCAATACGAGAACATCACTTTTTTTGCAAAAACAATTCTTTTAGAAATTTAAATTATTTAAGAGAATTGGTTTGATTTTTTATTAAAAATTTTTTTATTTTGAATATTCAAAAAATTAATATTAAAGGACAGAAGAACGTTATGAGTGATGACAGAGGAGTTTAGTTACAAAAGTATGTCCTTCTTATGCCGTTTTACAGAAAAGAAAAAAATAGAATAGGAATAAATTTTTATTTTTATTGTAATTTGCATAATTTTAGGAGAACTTATAGTTAAAAACAATTTATAATTTATGAAGTAGGAAAATTTCCAATTTAACAAACTGAGAACAGACACATTTTGCAATTTACTACGAATTTCATTTTGAAATTCCATGGTTTTCCAATGAATTCTGTAGATTAACTTTTTTAAATAAATGTGAAAAAAATGTAATAATGTTTTGGAATGAGTTGTCATTATAATTTTCTGCTTTTTATAAGCTTCATGAATAGTTTTTTAATTTTAAAAGCGATCATAATTTTTATTTTACGTCAAAATTAAAATCGTATATCAGTTTCACTTGTAAGTAAAACTGATATCAGTATGTTGAATATCACTACGTTGTATTATCAGTATCAGCTGTAATATCGATCAACATCAGTTATATCAGTATGTTGAAGTATTTATTAATATTGTTGAAAGTACAAAAAACTAAAGCAAAAATCTCTAGGCATTTATTGTTTTATACCATTATAGCACTTAATTTTTTTATGCCATATACTCTTAAGAACAAAGAGTGTAGTCAGAATAACACTTTCAATAGAAATGCGCTCGGTTTTATGACATTAAAATTTGAAGTTAGATTGGTTCCCAAATAAAAAAAAAAATAATTTTCAATTTTATTTTTTCAATTTTTTTTCTGTATTTAATTATTAATTATACTTACCAGAAGAATTTCGTAATAAGAGCTCATAAGAATCATCGATATCATCTTCTAAATCTTCATCATCATAAAAATCAGGTCTTTGAAGCATTTTTGTATTTAAGTCTTTATTTTTATTATTATAATTATTATTATTATTAATTATTTGTAAATCACCTGAATGCCTTTTTATTCTATTACTTTTATTTTTAATATTATTTTTATTTTTATTTAATTTATTATAATAGTAATTATTATAGAAAATTAATTTATTTATATTATTTTTATTATTATTTATACTTCTTTTAATTTTATTTTTAATTTTATTATATTTTTTAATTAATAATATTCTATTTATTTTATTGTCGTATCTTTTTTTAATTAAATTAGTCTCATTATTATTATTAAAATTCTTTTTAATTAATTTTTTATTTTTATTTATTATATTTGAATTTATTATATTATTTAATATTTTTTTATTATTTGGTATTGTTTTATTTGATTTTATTAAATTCGCTGCTTCTATATCATTTACTATTATGTCATTATTTAGCAATATACTATTACTGTTACTATTATTATTATTTTTTAATAATATTTTATTAATTGGTTTAGCATTTAGAATTCCTGTTTTTATCGTTGTTAATTTTACTGAAGATGATGCTATTACGGAAGGTTTTACAGTTGTTGTAATTGTAGTTAAAGTTGCTGTTATTGCTGTTGATTTATTTATTATTCTCTTTGTATCAATTATAATATTATTTTTATTATTATTAAAATTGCTATTATAATTTTCTTCTATATTATTTATATTATTATTATTATTATTATTTTCATAACCATTCACAATAATACCATTGCTACCACATGAATTATCACATATTAAAAATAAGCAACACCAATATGTAAAAATTTTTAATAAATTTAAGCGTTTTTGATTATTATTTTTTGTATTGTGTATATTATTATTAAAATTATTATTATTATCAATTAAAAATGATAATATTGTTTTTTTAATATTTAAATTATCATTCATTTTCGAATTCAAAATAAAAAAAAACTATTAAATTTCCGTATATTTATTTCTGTAGTAATAGGTTAAAAAAAATTATAATTGTAATTTTATTTTTAATTTATATTTTATAATTTATATTTATATTTTCAATTATAATTAATTAATATTATAGAGTGCGACATATATATGTATAAATTTATAGAATAAATTTTATAAGCCCATCCTTTATAAATTCATGTGTTTTTTATTTTTTATTTACACAAATATTTTTTTAAAAATATTATAAACTTGCATTTTTATTTTTTTTTTTTTGTATTTTTAAATTTCTTAATTAAAATTTTTTAAGATTTTTTGTTGCATAGCTTTGTAAACTTACTTAAGCGTAGTTTGATTGTTATCTGCCTCCAATTAAAATAAACCATTTCTTTCAAATTTTATTATCAAGATAACAGCAGTATATAGAAACTAAAGTCTTCAGTAATTGTACAGCGTGTTTGCAAATTAAAAGAATTAACTTTTTCCTAGCTTTTCCGTGGTTATTTTTTTTGCTTTTATCATAAGCAAAAATTAAAAGTTTTATTAAGCAGTTGAAATTTTCAAATATTTTAAAATATTATGTACTTCTGAAATAAAAAAAGTTTGAAGAGTAAATGATTATTAAAAAATTTTGTAAGTACAACTTGTAAAAATTTAGATTGAAAAAATTTTTGTGAATACATTAAAAAACAATTATAATAAAAATGAAAAAAAAAATTAAATTGAAGTGAAATATTTATTTAAAAAACAATATTAAAAAAACATGTTTTATTAATTCAAACACATACATTATAATATACTTAAATACTGAATTATAATATGCATGTATTAGGGTGGGCAATTCGCAAATTTTTATTCTAAAATTTTGCAATTTTTTATATTGTCAGCATATAAACGATGACATTGTGTATTTTCTGAATAATACATAGTGTATAAAGAGTATTTCGCATAAGGTGGCAAATAATATATCAGGGATGATTTTCTGATCAATTTCCAGTAAAACATTGTATGGATGGCGGGGTACACTCGTTTTCGAGCTACAGTCTGTTGAAAAAAAGGGTACCGGACTTTTTATAAATATAAATAAATATTTATAACTTCGGAACCATAGAACATTGAGTTATCATTAGGAGCTTGTTTTACAGATTGTTCTTTATTTTTTTACACTACAATTAATTTGACTTGAACCATAGTTTTCGAGATACAGCTCGTCAAAGTTAGAATTTTTATATTTTTTTTTGAATTTTTTTTTTTACAAAACTCGAAATTTTTCGAAAATTTTTGAGCAAATTTGGGAAAATCTTTTGTTATGCTAATTAAAAAGAGATAAAGAAAAACAGTGCTCATTTTATTTTTGAGATCCGATTTTCTGGAAAGGCTTGTTATTTCCTTTTTATTTGATTTTGCAGTTCTGCATTACAAAATTGCGAAAATTTGATACATTAATAACACATCCTATCCCATGAAGTCAGGAGAAACTACGAAACTAGTAAATTCAATTAAAGAATTCATTTTTTGATTTGAAAAGTGCAATTTTTTTAATATTTCTTAGTAGAACTTAATTCAAATTGTTTGGCAATATTTTTCAAAAGAAAATTAAAGCTCAGTCCACCCTTTTTTATATTAATGTTAATCGGTAAATACCATAAATATTATTTAAAAATTTATTCAAAAAAAAATTCTTTTCTTTTTTGCTTAAAAATATTTTCCGGTTTTAAATTTCTTTTGGTATTTCTTTTAAATTTTTCTAATGTCCTTTAAATATGGACTTCCGTTTTCTATTTATTTATTTATATATTTTTTTCTTTTCCTTTAAAACTACATTTTTTCATTTCCTGTATTTCTATTTTCATTAAAATAGAAAAAAAATATATAAAAAAAAAATTCTTAAATAATGCAAAAAATTTTCAAATGTCCATTTGTGTTTAATTTCTAATCAATTACAAAATAAATTAAATTCATTCTTCATTATTTAAAACACATTTGAAAATGTTGATTTCTTTAAGTTCATGTTGTACTTATTAACATATTTTAGTTTATAGTCATAATATTTTCAACACTTTTCCAAGAAAAAATAAAACGTGAAAAAGTGCTTATTAGTTTTACTCTGTCCATCTGTCTGTCCATCTGTCTGTCCATCCATCCGTCCATCGATTCGGGTGCCTGCATAACTTCTACCCCCCTTAAAATAGAAAGCTGAAATTTTATACGCAGATAGATCTTAACTAGAAACTTATTTCTGCAAGAAAATATTTCAACCCTCTTTCATCCCTCTAAAAGTCAAAGTTTCTTAAACCTTTGAACTTTTAAATTTTTTGAATTCCGGAGACGCAAAAAAGTAGCTACTAGCTTCTGCTCCCGTCATATATTATACTGAAGTATAACCATAGCAAAATGAAAAATAAAAGGACTAATTTCACAATGTTAAATGGTTTTTTTTCTGCTTACGATTTTTCTTCAGTATTTGGTATTACTGATATCGAGTCGATGACGAGTAAGTTTTATGAATTCATATTTGAGCGTTTGAATTATTTATTCCAACTATGAGGAATAGGAATTCCGATTCCGGTCCTCTATGGTTTTTTAAGGAACTGAGAAGGTTGTGTAATAAAAAAAAATAAATTTTGGCGCAAATATCCTTCTTGAAGGAGTGCTAGTGATTACGGCAACTTTCAGCTTGCGTATGATACCTTCAAGTTAGCAGCTTAACAACATAATGATATGCATATTTTAAAAATTTCCGACGGCATTATACATAATCCTAGAAGTTTTTGAAAATTTTTTAATCATAAGAGGAAATGTGATAGCTATCCAACTTTTTTGAAGTTTAACGGTTCTTCAAGTAATAATTCTAAAGTGATTTCCGAACTTTTTCGTGACTTTTTCGCCGAACCATACTCCTTCCTCCATTTCCATTATTTGAGGAACCATACTGCTTCCTCCATAGATTCATATATATCGACACATATTTTGCGTCAAACTCGCCTTGAAAAATACCTCAACTTAGGTTCTAGCTCTTTTCGCGGGCCTGATGGTATTACTGAAATAATTTTGAGTAAATGCTGTTCTTCTTTAGCGGCTCCGTTATCTGGGAGGAAACCTTTATTAGATCGATTCATAAAAAGGGCAATAAAAGTGATGTGGTAAAACTATTGTCCTATTGCTAAACTTTCGGCCATTCCAAAAGTTTTTGAATTAATGATATATGATGGCATTTACTCCCATTGCATTCCATTTATTAGTAGTTGCCAGCACGATTTTCTAAAGAAGAAATCAACGGTGATCAAAATCCAAAACAGAAGCAGCTTCCACCAGATCATCCATATGGAAGATGGGTGTCAAACAGATGTGATTTACACTGATTTTAGCAAAGCCTTTGACGTTTTACCCCACGATGTAATTTTTTTGAAATAGAGGTTCTATGATTTTCCCAACAATGTTGTAAGTTTGGTTGACTGTTATCTTTCTTATCTTTCTTATCTTTTATCATCGGTGTCGTCCCTGCTTGTGGCTAGTTCTGGAGTTCCCCAGGGCAGTCACCTGCGTTCATTGCTCTTCATCGTCGCTGTTAATGACATAGCATGCGTTTTGAATCAATATTTTGTGTATTCCATATTATAAAGCTATCAATTTCCTCGGCTTTTCTTTAAGGTATTTTGAACATAAAATCTTTTAGGTATTTTAATTGTTCAAAACAAGTTGTCTTATAATGTGATTGTTTCGCATTTTTTAACATTGCTTTGAATAGAGATATTTAGAAAAAAATTTCTTTTTCGGGGTCCATTTCATCTTTTCATAGTGTTAATTAATAAGATATTAAAAAGTTATTATTTATTTTATTTTAGGGCTAGCTTAATATTTAATAAAGCATTCCAATTATTTTAAATTCAAGTACATGAATACAAAGTTTTCAATATAATTCTATGAAAGGTAAGGGTAGAATAAATTTTGAATTTAATTTTTCAATTATAACAAAAAAGAATTCAATTATTGCTGAAATTTCATATAAGTAATTAACATTTTCATCTTCCATATACGGATGAATATATTTATATGGGAAATTATGATTAATCTTACAATTCTCGGAAAATTTAAATTTTCAATTCCAAAAATGCTCTAGGTATTTTCTGTATATTTTTTATTGCACTTATTCACAATATTGTTTAAAAAATTTTCTTGAATATTCAATTGTGCTGCTGGCATATTAAACTTTGATTCAAATTTATTTCATATTACCATTTGATAAAATGTTTATTGAAACGTTAACTGGCAATTTTTAATCGAATTAGTAAGTCCAAAAAAAAAATAAAAACAGAATAAAGACTTTTTGTAAAAATTAATTAACCTTCACTTTATAGTTTTTAATTAAAATTAAAACGGAATATTTAAAAGAGAGATACGAAATCGATTTGCAAAATAGACTATCTGGGTAAATAAGAACAAAAAACAAAAACGATCCCTTTGGTATTGAATTAATGGAATTTTCAAAAAAAAAAGTTATGTATGTTCCGGAAGCTGTTTACCCAATAAATAGGGTGTAAAAAGTGAGAACTAAACCAGGTAATAAGTTGAAAAGGTGATGCTATTGATCAACAAAAAAATAACCTACTAAAATATCCATAGTAATTTCACATAAAGAAAATCAGAGACCACATTTATTTAGTCAAATATTTAAATTTGAAAACCATGAATCACAATGAAGCTATTCTTATTAACAAAAGTATTGTTCAAGATTGTGAAAAATATTTTTTTAACTTTATGCCAAATTTCTTTCACATTTATGTCAAACTAGAACTACTCCAAAATTTAAATTAAATTTTAAGTTTATGTTCAATTTTTTGAAACTAGCTTTCTTTTTGGAAACCAGTTTATTTAATTTTTCTGAGCAATGAGATTCATATACGAAATTTAAATGAAGTCCGCCATTTCTTTAAATATGCTCAATAATGTCCCTTTTGTAAAGGTTAAGCACACGGATTTTATTTCTCCTAAATATTAAAAAAATACCCTTGATTATTATTTTATAGG